CGTTGCAATGGGACCGCGAATGAGATCATGAAAACAATTGGGCTTTATTCTGGTGTCATGAAGGTTTTAAGCAGGACAGTGACCCAGACTGCATCCTTCCCCCACATTCAGAGGCAGCCAGGGTCTTCCCAAGGTGTTGTGTCCAAGTCAACTGAGAATCCTGGATGTGCCCAGAGGTGACGACACAACTCGACACTCCCTTTCCTGAGCCACAGCATGGTCAGAGAGTCTTGGGTTTGAATCCTGACTCTGCCACTTCATAGCTGTGTGGCTGTGGGCAGGTGACTTCATGTATGAGCCTCGGCTTCCTGGCCTGTAAAATAGGCATAAAACACCCATTGGATTTTCGCAAGGATTAAATGAGATCATAATACAAAAGACTTAACACAGTGCTTCCCACATGTTAAACAATAAATGGGCTGGGTCAGTGGCTCACACCTGTAATCCCAGCACTTTCGGAGGCCAAGGTGGGAGGATTGCTTAAGGCTAGGAGTTTGAGAACAGACTGGGCAACATAGTGAGACCCGGTCTCTATAAAAAAATAAAAAATTAACCGAGGGAGGAGGATCCCTTGAGCCCAGAAATTTCAGGCTGCAGTGAGCTATGATTGCACCACTGCAATCCAGCCTGGGTGACAGAGCAAGACCCTATCTCTAAGATAAATAAACAAAACAAATGAAAAAAACCCAATACATGTTCCCAATAGTAATAATAATTATTATTCATTCACAGCTTTGACTCTGCAGTCTTTTAGTGACTGGATAAATCCTCAAACCTGTCCTTTTCTCTCTTAGCCCTAAAGTCTCACCTGGGTTCTTCGATGATAATTATGGCTACAATTTCTTAGCCCTTTACTTGTATTTTTATTGCTATTGTTGTTGAATCCATATAACAACCATGGAAGATACATGTTTTATGATCCAGATTTTATCATTAAGGCAACTGAAGCTCAGAGTCGCTAAGTGATTTGTCCCAAACCACACAGTGATTAAGTATCAGACCTGTAGGACCTCACTCCCATTTTCCTGATGGGGAAACTGAGGCTCAGAAAGGTGAGGTATCATGCCCAAGGCTGCACAGTTGGCAGGTGGCAGAGCTGGGATTTGAACCCTTGCCTGTCTTGGGATTCCTGGACATTAGAGGTCCAAAGTCCCTCCTAGGACCCACCCTCTGAACCATGTGGCTTAGCCTTGAGATAAGCCAGGAGAGATTGGAAACTTTTGGTCTTGCTACCCCTATTAAGGGGCCCTCGGCATACCTTTCTGAATACTAGGCCTCCTTCCAGAATGCTCTTCCCGCAGACTCCCATTCGCCAAAAATCAGGTCAGGGTTAGCTCTTTTCCGGGAGACGTTTTTCAAGTCTCATTTGAATCACTCTTACGCAGTTGATTCCCCTCGTGTCAGTATCTGTAGTGTCATTTTTTAAATGTAGTTTTATTTTATTTTTAAACATTAATTCATTTTGGGAATAGGTCAAATCGCATATGTGGTTCAAAATTCAAAAGATTCAAAAGGGTATTTAGTGAAATCTCCTTCCTACCCCTGACCCTTGGCCACTGTTTTCCCACTCCTGCCACCTGCCAGGTGACATGGGGGTGTAGGTATTACTTATTCTTCCAGAGATGTTCCAGCATGTATAAACATCTTAAAAACAAATATATTGTTTCCTACTTTCTTATGCAAATGATGCACATGTTACATACACTATTGTTCACTTTTATTTTTTTTAGATCTTGGAGGTTGTTTCATATCAGTACATCATGAGCTTTCTGGATCTTTTCTGTGGCTACATAGTTTTCTGTTGTAGGACTGTATGTAATTTATTAACCAGTGCCCTACTGATAGGCACTTGGGTTATTTCTAGTTTTTGCTCTTTTTATTTTTTTTTTTGAGACAGAGTCTCGCTTTTGTTGCCTGGGCTAGAGTGAGTGCCGTGGCATCAGCCTAGCTCACAGCAACCTCAAACTCCTGGGCTCAAGCAATCCTTCTGCCTCAGCCTCCCAAACAGCTGGGACTACAGGCATGTGCCACCATGGCCGGCTAATTTTTTCTATATATTTTTAGTTGTCCGATTAATTTCTTTCTATTTTTAGTAGAGACGGGGTCTTGCTCTTGCTCAGGCTGGTCTCGAACTCCTGACCTTGAGCGATCCGCCCGCCTCGGCCTCCCAGAGTGCTAGGATTACAGGCGTGAGCCACCGCGCCCGGCCCAGTCTTTGCTCTTAAAGACAGCATTGCAGTTAAGACCCCTGTACTGTCTTTGTTGTCAGTGCCAAAATCTGTGAAGAACTTTCCAGAAAGAGGCACTCACAGCTTCGGGGTCCCCAAACTCAGAACTAACTTGTTGTACTCGAGGGAGCTGAAGGAGGCCAGTGTGGCTGGAGCATAATGAACCAGGGGAGACTGGAAGAAGACTGAAGGATTAAGTCTTATCTTTTCCTTGTTTAAGACAAAACTCGAGGTGCAGCCTTGGAGACCCTTGTGAGAACTTTGGATTTTATTCTGAGTGCAACAGGAAATCAATGGAGCCATCAAGCGGAGCAAAGGTGAGACTTAATTTACATTATTTATTTGTTAAAAATGTTTTACTTTTTTTTAGAGACAGGTTCTCACTCTTGTGTCCAGGCTGGAATACAGTGGTGTGATCACAGCTCACTGCAGCCTCCAACTCCTGGGCTCAAGTGATCCTCCACTTCAGCCTCCTGACTAGGTGGGACTACAAGCACACACCATCACGCCCAGCTAATTTTAAAATTTTTTGTAGAGATGGGGGTCTCACTATGTTGCCCAGGCTGGTCTTGAACTCCTGGCCTCAAGAGATCCTCCCACGTCAGCCTCCCAAAGTGCTGGGATTATAGACATGAGCCACCACGCCCGGCCTGGACCCACTTTTTGTTTTTTTAACTTAAGCTTTATCCTAAGAAATAATATTGGGGCTACAGAGGTTTTATGTGCTTAATTAGATGTTTTTCTAATATTAACTATTAAAATAAATCTTTGTCCACATGCCACTTATACATCTCTCATTCCACCAATGGTACTCATACCTTGTTTGGGGGAATGCCGCCTGGGGTCACCCTACATTGTTGTGTGTCATGAAATATATATTCTATATTTATCTGAATACAGCTGTTATGGACAGTGCTCTGTCAACACTTAGCAAAAGGACAAACAACACACTTAACCTCAAACACAGCACTTCTACTCTCAAGACTTGATCTTCAGGAAATCATTAAGAATGTGCTCTAAGATTTAGCTACAAGGATGTTCTCAGCCTTGCTGATTGTAGTGAAAATTTGGAACTAATTAAGTTTAACCAGGGGACTGGTTAAGTAAACACTGGTACAGTTATATGATGGAATGCTACTTTGCCCAAAAAAATGATGTCGTAGAATATTGAATGCCATGAAAAGATGTTCACAAAATAGTGGTAAGTGAAAAAAGCAGGTTTCAAAGCAGTGTGCAAAAATATTCACCTACAATGTGCCACACATATACCAAGTGTGGATTTGTAGTGAACAGAAATGGACTTGGTTGCTGCCCTTACCTGCTTACGGTCTGATATGGAGAGAGACATTTATCAAATAATCCTACCACTAGACGTAACTTTCAGTGGTGAGAAGTGGCTACAAAATGGAGGTACATGAAAGATGTTGGATAAAACAACAACAAAAGACAAAAAAAAAAGAAAAGAAAAGAAAAAGAAAGAAAGATGTTAGAAGAGCATGCAATAGGGTGACTGCCTGGTTGGGGAGCAGTTTTGGCGCTGGAATTTTAAAATAGGAGGATGTGGAGGCTCCAGAGGTGAGCCGCTTAGATCTGCCTTCAAAAAAGAGGTAGTTATCCAGCTTGAGGAGTGACAGCTCTAGATGCAGTGCCTTGGAGGTGAGGCACTGCTCTGTCTGGGCACCCCCAGCCAATGCTGAACATGGTGGGAATATTGGGGCCTGGACACTTCAGCCCAGTGGGGACTCTATTTTTTTGTGCCCTGTTGGGTTGGTTTATCTTTGTCAGATCTGAGCCTCTCCTTGTCCAATCCTGCTATTTCCCCTTTCTCTGTCACAGGCATCACCCTGAACTTGATCTCAGCATCTCCTTCCCGGAAGACCTGACCTGACACAGAAGGACTTGGGGGCTGGATTTTTGAGTGACAAGAGGACTCTGAGAACTTGAAGCTGTGCTGGCAGAGCATTTTTATATCAGATCAGGAAACTATCATCACCCATCCCAAAGTGTGGGGAAGGACTGATGACAGAATAATAATAACAACTAACTTTATGAGAATTAATTTAGACAATAGCTATATAGTATCTGTCTATTCAGACGTTCAATACATGGTAGCTGAGTTTCCGAGTGTGTGGGAACAGAGCCCCTCAGGAAACTGTGTTTCACACTGGGTGTAACTTTCCTGTAGATTTCCCTTTTATGTCTAATGTCTCATGCACAGTTTTGGAAAAGTCTCTAGGGAGGGTGGATGTGTGGGAAATTAAGAGAGATACATAACCATAAAAGTATTGGATTTGGGACCCAAAGGCTGAGCTGCAAGCTAAACTGCCATCGGTCCAGAGGGAGACACCAGGAAAGGTCCTCCAAAGGCTCCCGGTCCTGCCTGATACTGATTTACGGTCCTCCTGGGAAGTGACCGGTCCTACTGGGAGACAGACGGACGGATGGACAAACCTGACTCCCCAGGGTCAGGCATGTGATGACCGAGTGACTGATGAACGGACAGACGCATGGCCGAATGTGGCCGAGTCTGTCAGCCGGAAGGTCAGGCAAGTGATTTTGAGAGGGACAGAGACTGATGGGCGTGGCTGAAGGCCTGGGAGCCTCCCACCTGCCCGCTCAGCCGCGAGGGGGCGCCGCTGCCCCGCCCAGCGACGCCCACCACCCGGGCTGGGCGCGCGCTCGCGGGCCGGCGGCGGGGGCGGGGCCAGTACCCTCTAGAGGCGGCTGGGGGCGGGGCGCGCGTGCACGCGGGGCGGCCGGGGGCGGGGCGCTCGGCGGGCGCGGGCGCGCGCGGCGGCGGCGCGTTCCGTTCCGGGCCGAGGCTCGCGGCGGAAAAGTTGCGGGGCTTGAAGAGCGGCCCCGGGACGGGCAGCGAACGCGACGCCGAGCCGGCTCCCGGCTCCCGGCGCCCGGCGCCCGTGGTCCGGCCATGGACGACCTCGGTGAGTGAGCAGGAGGCCGAGGGGGGAAGGGGCGAGGGGCGCGCGGCCCCGGGCCGGGCGGGCGCGAGCAAGCGGCGGGGGCAGCGGGATGCCACCCCCGGCGGCCCGGCCTCGGCTCCCGTCCCTGCCGGCAGAGGCTGTGCGGGGCCGGGATCCCGAGCTGGGCCCGAGTCCCGGGCCAGGCCGGCTCCGCCGCGGTCCTCACAGCAGCCACCACCCCCTGCTGGGGGACGTCTTCACTCCTGGACCCTCGACCCCGGGGATCCACTCCCATCTCCCAGAACGGCCCTAGGGACCAGCTCGCCCCTCAGGGACCCACCCCGTCCGCTTCAGGGAAGAGACCCTTGCTTCCTGGACCAGACCACCTCCTGAGCTATGGGACCCTCACTTCACAGACCGCTCCCCACCCCCGCTCACAGATAGACCGCCCAGCTCGGGGAGCAGCTGCCTAATCTCATGGGCTGGTCGCTTATTTCCGAGACCTGCTCCTACCCCCTCCAGGGCCGTCCCCTACTTCACAGACTGGCGTCCCCTGCTTCACAGACTGGCACCCCCACTTCAGGGGTAGCCCCTCTGAGCCCACCTCTTTCATTTCACAAGTCAGATTCACAAGCTAGAGATGAGCTTCGAACGACCACACCCCCATTTCAAAGACAAGTTTGCCAGTCTGTCTGCCCCACTAACCCCCCACTTCCAGTCTGGCCACCCTGTTTCATGGACCAGTCACTACATTTCCCTGACTGCCCTCCCCGCTCTACCTCGAGCCACAGACCAGCCCCTCTCCCTTCATACCTAAGCCTAGAAGGGTAAGTTGGGGAGTCCTGATTCTCCCCCCTCTCCCAGACCCTGGTGAAATGCCAGGGGAATGAGGTGGGAAGTTGGCCTCAAGGTATTCCATCCCTGAACTTGTTCTGGCTGGCAGGGTCCCCCCATCCCCCAGCATCAAGCCCTTCTGGAAACCACACAGGTAAGGAGGATAGGATGCCCAGAACAGAGTTTTACTGTTTTCCTGTTATTGGAGCCCCAAGACTGCTCTTTTCAGTCTAGTCTTGATCTGGTGTTTGGGCCGGGGAAAGAAAGTATCTCCTGGAAGCAGATTGCAAACCCAAGGGGATTGGTGCCAGGGTTCTAGAAATGCCTTGGGGTGGTATGAACACAGGAGTGGGAGGATTCACTCTCTCCCTCCCTTCACGCCTGTAGCTGGAGGGCCGTGAGCTGGGGAGGCGAGGAGGGGGGAAAACTTTCTTCTCTGTAGGAGCCTTGTCTTTCCTCTCTGGACTGTGGGTGGCTTGTGTGACCACTGGTACTTCCTCTGTCCCAGGCTCTGATGAGTAGATTCATCAGACAGGACTGATGGGCCTCTCTCAGGCAGCACAGGGCACTAAGTTAAGACTGGCTATTTGTAGGCACTGAACTTGACTGCTTCCTAGCAGCTTCCTTTTGGGATCAGGGTGCTCCCGAGAGATCCTGGAGCTGGGGGTGGTGTAGGGTCCTGCCTGTTTTGCAGAGTGTGAGGGCTGCCAAGCATAGTTCTGCCTTTGGGTCAGGCTTGGCACCCGTTTTTCCAACACACTCAAGGTTGGCGTAGCTTCCAGGCAGGTATTTTTTTCACATAAAAATAACTCCGCTTGATGGAGGCCGGGGATGTTCTTTGAATCAGGATCTGAAAGTCTCCGTGCTTTTCCAGTGGGAACTGGGGAGCAGAGTTACAGTTTCTAAAATGCTGGTGCAGTTCTGTTGCTTCTCTACAGTCCTTGTGCTGTTTGAAGGACTGAGAAACTCTTTGTAAGGGTTCGCAGTCGAGGTCCGGAATTCCTGTCTTCTGACAGTCTTCCATTTAGGGCCAGGAAACTGAGTTAGTTCTGAAAGGAAAGAGAGTACTCTATACTGGTAGAGGGGATCGTAGGAATTTAAATTTGCTGTATGTGGAGTATTTCCCATACCTTGATTTTGTCCCATCCTTACAACAATCCTTTTATAAGATCCTCCTTAAGGCAGCTGCTATCACAACCATCTGCCTTTTACACACTGAGAAAGCTGAGACTAAGAGAGGTCGATTCTCTTGCCCAAGGCTGCACAGCCAAGAAGTGACAAAACATAACTGGAAGTCCAATCCCTGGCTCCTAGATCTGCAGCTCTTGTATACAGGGAAGCCTTTCTTCCTGGGGAGGGGTTGCCACTGGGTGATGGCTGCCACCTGTAACTTCTGCCGCCTTCCACCATAGGCTCCCAGTTGCTTGGATCCGGGCTGCCCGACTTCCTTGGCCTGAGCTCCCAGGGGACCCGCCACGCCTGGCTGACCGGAGCCTGGGATGGGAGGAGTGGGGTGTGCAGGAGGGGAGAGGAATTTGCCTCTGCGCTGGGGCCCCGTCAGCTGTCTGGATGGCTGCTCAGTGGACTGTGGGTCAGCTGTTTTCCTTAGTTAGGGTGGACACAAAGCCCAGGCCTCTTGTTTTTATTTTTCTCTTGAGAGTGCTCCGAGCCATGAGCCTCCTGGTCCCTAACACAGGAGAGAATTTGTGGTCTCTCCTGTGGCAAGCAAGGCTAGAGGGGGCAGAGCCTCCTCTGTGACTTTTGTTTTTTGGTCTAGAAAAAAATAATTGGGAAACTCATCTCCTGCCCATAGCTGCCAATGACAGACTCACCATGTGCTGTTTAATAAGTTACAAATTTATAGCTCTTTGGGCAGAAAAACATAAACACAGCGTGTCCTGCCCTTCTCTGTGTGTTCTCTCCGCTTTGTGCTGCGGAGTGGCTGCTTGGTGGCTTTTCTCATTACTGTTTAGATGCTGGTTTGGCCCGGAGTTTGCTTTGAGTTCTGGCTGGAGTTTCCTGGACAGAGTTCCCACAACATTGAGATGCACTCTGACTACGTTTTCTAACTGGACTCCTTGCTCTCCCCTTGTTCACGTTCTTAGTGTACTTATGTGTGCGGGAGTGGGGAGCAGGGGGAGGGTGGGGTGCAGTTGACCACAACCACGGTCTAATAATGACCATGCGCACTTGATGGGAGACAGGCACCAAACTCAGCACTTTACGAATTATCACAACCATTCCAAGAGGGAGGCGTTTTATCTCCGCTTTACAGATGTGGAAACCTGAGCTCAGGGAAGTTCAATGGTGGAGCTGGGATTTGAACCGAGACTGATCCAATTCCAGATCTGGTCATCTGTACCATAATAAGGTAGTAAGTGCTGGTGACTAACCAGGGGATGAGCTATGGGACCTGCTGAGTAATCGATAGTTACCTTTAAAATTTCTGCCTTAGGGACCATTCCCAGGAAACGGCAAAGGGCGTGTCCAGTGTAGGACTTGGTAGCTTTGCCTTCCCATCCTCTAGGAGGGGGGACAGCCAGCTGTTGGCAGTGCCCAGTTGCTGCTGGAATCTGGACATGTCTTCTTTCAGCTTCTCAGTAGTCTTGACCCTTTGGAAAACAGTGCCTCATTGTCCTTGGGGGTAATGTTAGGGGGCAGGAGAGTTGCCTGGGGCATTCCAGGCTAGGGAGCCTCCCTGTTTCCATGGAAAGTCTGGACTTTGGGTTTGCCTGTCTGTGGTGCCTCTGTGTTTTAGGGCAGAGTCAGGGCACCCAGCTGCTGGGCCTGGGGCAGAGGCAGCATTTGCCCATGAAGTGATAACCCTCCTGGTGGGCTCTGCGTCAGCACCAGACCTAGTAAGGGGCAGAGCAAGACTTGGTGTGTTTGATTCTTAAGCAGGTGCCCTTTCCAATATGCTGAGCTGTCTGCTGTCTGGACAGCCAGAGCTTGGTGTGGAAAGGCTCCGGCTGCTGGGGCTCTGGGCCCCATCACTATGGGTTCAAGGTCTTTTGAGGGATATCTCAGTTTTCCCTTTTTCTAGCTTCCCTAGTAATGGCCATGCATTGAAGAGGGTGGGTGGGCCCTTGACTGGGGAGGCTGATGGAAGGCAGAGTTACTGCTGAGGCTCGGGGCGTCCCTCTGCCACCATTCAGTCACTGTGCATGGAGTGTCTGACCTTCTGATGCTTCTTTCAGGCCTTTACCTTATTCCAAGGCCAAATATGTTGAAAAAACTTTCAGCTTCATTCCAGCCTTTCCCTGGGTGGTCCTTGGTTTCGGCTCCTTCATTAACAATAAAAAACATCTGTGGAACACTTTTCTTTTTACAGTGTTTACAGTATTTTTCCCATAATATGTATTGAGCACTTACTATGTGCAGGCGCTGTGCTGGAAACAGTTCAATCCATTGTTTCACTGAATCATGTTGGCCATCTGAGACAGGTTCTATTATTATTATCAGTAGTAGGAGTATTGCCACTACTCATCTTACAGATGAAGAAACTGAGGCACAGAGAGGATGCTCAAGTTCTATAGCTATCGAGTGGCAGGGCTAGATTTGAATCCAGATAGTCTGACTGCAGAGTGGGACTTCTAACCAATCATTCTTTACACTTCTGTTCCTGATACTGGATCTCATCTTGTTTTTTTTTTTTTTTTTTAATTTTCAAACATTTTTTGTAGAGATGGGGGTCTAACTATGTTGCCCAGGCTGGTCTTGGATCCCTGGCCTCAAGCAATCCTCCCATCTCAGCCTCCCAAAGTATTGGGATTCTGGACATGAGCCACAGTGCCTGGCCTGGATCTCATCTTGGTTGCCTATTGCTTTGATTGCTTTCCACTTCTAGGACACTAAAAGTCTTTTCTGTGCCCTTCCCACTCTCCTCACTCTCTGTTCAGTCTCCCACTTCTGTCCTTTCCCTGCTCTCTGTGGCTTCTTCCCTCTGTTTTGTTCTTTCTTGAAGAGGCACACTCAGGATGGGATGCAGGGACATGGTGGCATTGTGACCTGCTCGAGGGTAGGGGGGACCCACTGCTCCCTCACGTCTTCAAGTCACCTGTTACCCTCAAGACAGCACTTACAGCACAGCTGCTGAGGAGAACCTGGGCCCTCCGTGGTCCCTCTGCCACCTCTTCCTGTGCCCCTGCCCTCACTCCACCCACCTACTCTCTTTGTCTTTGTTCAGG